ACATTGCAGTAATCAAGTGCTTCGTTGGTCTATCTACGGGGTTATAATAGCCATGTTTGATGAGACTTAAAATCTTCTTGTTTTAATGTCTGTCTCTTAATTTTTTTACAAACAATATTTTTTTTATAAAAAATACGGTGCGGTAAGTGGGGGCTTTTTCAAGCTAGAGGACGCTTACATTTGAATGAGGTTGCCAAAAAAGCTTGTGATTTATTTTTAAAAATATTAATATGGTAATGTTCTCCTATTTATTGATTAGGTTCCTGTGAAGCCCACTGCTGTGGGTTAGTCACTTTAGATAATATAATTCGTCGAGATTGAATTTGGTTACTAGATTTTTTTCACAATCCCAACAAAAGGCGAGTACAAGAATAATTGTTTTCTATTGCTGATTTTCCTTCCAAATAAAATGTCGAATACAAGCCTTTGACGTATTTGGCTGATGCGTCTTATTTTCATAATAAGTACATATTTATGCTAAATGTATTTGGTATTCCTGAATCTGTAAAACAATTTATTTATAAGTACTCATCTCCATCATTGTGTGCTACTTTTATAAACAAAACTACTATTTAAAATTACGTTCAAGTATTTTATCAATGTGAAACTGAACAATGACATGAGAGCACATTATATTTTACTAAAGGGCCTCTAGAGTTTAATAAAGAGCACAGGCCAAAGATTTTCATTGTTCTTTGCTCAAAGCTTTTAAACATACTAGACCGATTTAGCACTCGACCTTCTTTTTGAGACGAGAAAGTATTGCCTGCTGGCCCCTTTGCGTAGTTTCGCTTGGTCTGTTAGGTGGAAACGGGGTTGGGTAAAGTCGTGCAAAAGGTAACGTACGGCCGTGAAGTCACGCCATCAACGTGTTGTGTGCAGACCATTATTTTTTTTTCAAATGAGAAATTGGCAAGCGAGCTGGCGGTTCCCCTGATGTTAAGTGATAACCACCGCCCATGCACATTTGCAACAACGTACGGTTGTATATACATTGCCACCTTTTAATACAGTTGGCCCAGTCTACCTCACTCACCAGACGGAACGTGGAAGCATAACACTTCGGTATTCTGTGAGGTCGTGGTACATACCCGGACGGACCTGCCCATTCCACCAGTCCATACCACAGTCGGTTCTGTGCAGCACGTTATGGCGCAACCCTTCTCGTAATTTGACGTTCGACAGCTAATGTGATTGCACGCTTTGTGGCACGAGGACGGCGCGCGTCGCGTGACCGTGTGTCGATTAAAAAACACAAGCGCGGAGGAGGCGGCGGACATTCGCGAACAAAAAGGATGTAATGTTTGTAAAGTTGATCCCTATCGGACAAAGCATAGAAATCGCTTAAGATTCGATAAAAAATCTAAGTGTTCTGTTTTGAATGTTTTTTTGTGTGAAAGTCTTGGGAATTATTGGAAAAAATTCTTTTATTTTTATCGTCTCTGTCTCTACTGTCTAGGGTTAGAAACGTGCATTGTTTTATAATGTACTATCTGTTTGCAAATTTAGATTGACAAAGTCCAGAGAAAATCCACCAAGAAACAACGTCATTTGTAGATATTTAAAATAACTTCATCGTGTTATTACAGTAGCTCAGAAGACTGATGAGTCATTTCCACAATTCTTTGTTCTCAACGTTTTGCCTCAATTTATTATTAAGGTTGCTTTAATGCCTAACTTTTAAAAAATTACGAACGCTTTGTTGCTTGTTATTGTGTTTTTTATAATAACAGTTTTATAAGTTCGTTTTGTGAACTTGTAAGAAATCAACGATAACCCTTAAACAACATATTGTGTCCCTGGAAATGTGTAATCGTAATATGTTATCAAATACTAATATTATATATCTGCTATCGAATCCCTTTGGGATTATATTGTCATTAAGTTATTTAATTGGATTTCATGACTCGATGAAGATAACGCGGGAATGGTGACGTAATGTAAAAATCTTTCTTGGTGGAATTGATTGCATTTATACAAAGTTAAAACCAAGCAGCTAACATATTATGTACGGTTGATGTCTCGAGAGTATTAATGTACGATATGAATACGTAAAAATACCATAAGAGAAATAAAAGAATTATAACCTACATTATCGCAATTTCATGAACGTTTCAGGAACGAAACTTAAATTGTTGTGTATTGAACACACTAATCGTATTCTAATCGCAATCTATATACTTCCGAAGATTTGTGAATGATAAAACGTGTTGTCGATAAACATATAGGAAAAATAATTGTCTTTAATCAAACTTGTTCTGAATACAAGCAATGGTATTAATATCAATTTCATAACAAAAAATACACTCTTAAATCGTAAGTAACCCGTCGATACACCTAATCCCGCATGTTTATTGAATTAACAACTCGGATATGAGATATAGTTTGTAAAGGGGGAAAACCGCTTATTGACATGTCGTAATGTACTCTTCAGTTGTAAATTGAATGCCGATTACCAGGGGCGCGCTAACGCACCAGTTACTTAGTGCGCGCCGAGCGGCAATTTCCTTGTTTTGTCCAAACACGGGGCGCTCTAGGGTTGAACAGCACATGAACTCCTTCAGAACTAAACCACTAACGCTTCGCAACCGCCAACCCTATATCCGATATGTTTACATAAGTTATACAAAACGTTTTTGATCTTGTTTAGTTTCAATATACTTCAGCTATATCGGCACTGACTATGCGGGATGGTAAAAGTAAAATTAAATAAAAGCCTGTATGCCCCATTTCCGGGCAAAAACCTCGTCTGTATAAAGATAGGTTGTAAGGTCTTGCTAATGGCACCCGTTAGCTGAGCGGGTTAATAGCTTCATAACCGTAGCAATTTTTCGCATAGTACCGTTAGCAGTCACCGAATAGTTGTATAATTATGTTTAAATAAGGATTTATCGACGAAAGTTGTTTGGAAAATGCAGGGGCGTTCAGTCTCCTTCGTCTTCTTTCATTAAAACAAATTGTCACAAAATATGTGTATAAAATGTTTTAAACGAAAGTTTTTTTAATGAAATCATTACTTATTCTACATTACTCCAGAAACGGCTAACAGAAGCTTTAAAATGGTGTTGGAATCATTAAATTTGATGCAGAATTATGATGAAGTTACAGCGTACTGACAAAAGACGCCTTTGTGAAATAAGAAAAAAGATTTACACATTTCCTAAAATTTGAAATCGCTTTGCTTGAATCAAAGGCAAGTCAGTTCTTGGCTAAAAATATGCCGAAATCAAGACTATTCGACGGATTCTTCATCACTTTCCATACTTTGAAATGCTTCTTTATTCTTAGCTTAAGTTAAGGTTTATCCTTACTCTGAGAAAAAAACATTTATTGAAAAATACTGGGACCAAAGCTAGACTCGCAAAAATTAAAGAAGACCACTGAAGAATTATTGGACATTTTTGACGCGGTTGAAACTTAATGATTTTAATAAATTCGCCGCTCCCCTTTGGGATGTGGGGAGTTGAAAAGGGAGTTTTGTGGCTTTTTCCAACCACATGATTATATGCCTGTTAGCTCTCATGCGTCAACAGCAATAACATTACGGGACAATGGAATTGTTTACATCGCGAAGCTTTATTTTTTTTATGACTAGTTAACACGATTACTATACACATTTGTTTTTCCAAGTCGATTACTTTAAAATTATCTTTTTTATTGCCGTTAATTTATAGTTACTTTGATTAAAAATGCCTCAATTATGTCAGTATTATTGTTATGAACGTGTGTTCGACTCATGCTCGCCAAAAAGGAACCTCGCTTTTTTCTAATCAGGACTACTCAGACAGACAGAGAGAGATTTAAATTTTTAGTAAGTTTAATAGTCCCTCGCAGCAAAAACTCACAAATTGAAAACTATAGCAGAAATAATTTTATTCTATGGACTTTGATCAAAGTTGAGATTTGTAAAAGGTAGATTTAAAGAAATAGTCCAGTCAAGTCTTTTACTTCTGACTGTTCTGTATTTTGTAGACAACATACGTTATGTTATGCTTTCACGTTCTTAAAACCTTTCAATATGTGTGTGATTGAAATACGATAATAAGAACAATATTATTGCTTACATATGTCTTGGATCTCTCATTTTACGCACTCTCTCACACTCTCATTTCTCGCTTACGAGCACAACATGCTATATGTTGTTTCCTTTTGTTTATACACCGACTACAAATATGAGACAGTTATCTTTGTGCGTGTGAAATCCAAGAAATATAGCCCTATAGTTGTCCGCCACTGCTATTAATGATCTCGGATTCTTTGTCGACTTTCCATTCTATTATATTCCATTTATCGGTATAGGTACGATACCATCTCCATATCAGTAAAAAAAATATTACAGATGAAGTCAATTCGTTTCCGCATTAAGTCACGCTTATGTTGTTTTCTGTTGGTCTGAACTTATTACCAAAAATAAAAGTAAAAATTCTGTTTTGGTTGAACTTGTCCTAAAATGAAGACACAGAAATTACCTATAAATTGCTATACGATTGTCCCTCTTTTACGTATTTCCCTGACAGCGAATTCTCTGCATAACGTTTCCGTATCTGTTTGTAAAACTATAAAAATCTTTGCACCTGCTGCAAGATAATGTAATTTGTTTAAATTAAGCACGAACTTATTCAGTTAATTAAAGGTGTTTACATTATTTCATATTTCAAATGAATACTTAGGTGGTCGCGATATTCATTTCAATGTGCGCTTTATAAGTGAGTCAACAATTTTAAGAGTGAGCAATATATACATGATTAATATGTTATCAAAAATAAAGCTTGTCTTTATTTTTAATTCTAGATAAATTATTTTAGACAATACATTTCGAGCTCGTTTTATAACATTGTGTCCGTCCAACACACGGACACGTCAGCGATGCCCCGCGCTACCCTGTTATTCCGTGGAATACAGTTCAGCTTGAGTTTAATATGGCATTGGAACCCCCCCCACGAGTTGCGTGACTCGCGTATTTTCCGATTAGCAACGCTAACGTTCCCGTCCATCATCAGGTGGGGAGCAAGCAGTACCAGCCGGCCTCGGGTCCGGAGCTGACCAAGTTGTGCAACCACAAGCGGAAACTGCTGGCGACGCTGCAGGCCCGCTCCCAGTCTCCCGCAACACCGCCACCACACAACCAAGAGCAGAAGAAAGGTAAACTAATAAATTTCACAATAAGATTAAAATACATTATTGCAAACCTTTTCTAGAAGGCAGGGTGATTTTATAGACAACGAACATAATTTTAAAGCACATGCAGAATTTGATTCTAAATCTGAATCTGGTACGTACTTGTAGGTCACAAGTACGTACCAGATTCCATATTTATTTTTTCAACTTTACGAAATTCTTGCCTTACCGTCTCAATACAATAAAATCTTAACGGCATAAACAAACAATGTTTGAATTAAAATTTTTCTGGTTATTCCTTGTCAAAATAAAATATTAATACTTTTTTGAATTATGGAATGTTCAATTAAAATATTTCAATTAACAGTTTGTACTTTGTCTAAAAAATCAACCTGTATACTGCTATTTCGCTTTTCGATGAAGTCGTATGTAGGTATACTTTTTTAGAATATTTTTAGCCGGAATCGGTTAGTCATGAATGTTTCTTTAACCACTGAAATTATTATCGAACGTTTGAATCATTTAAAACCTAGTGGTGGTTGTTCCGAATAGATCTCAATCGAAAGGAATTCACAAATATTTCTTTTTTTGAAATTTTAGACCCACAATATTAAGTAACAACGAACACGACTAATTTATTCGAAGGAAAAGTTCCTGTCGTTAAAGTGTTTTGTAATGTTATGTCTTCTTTTATGAGTCGTCGTTCTTACGTAAGTTTTATGAACGCTATATATTATTTATTGGCAACGAGCATGACACATCCTCATGAATATTTTTTCGTAACGGCGTTAAAGGTATTGGCAGTTCGTTGGTAAGTTATTTAACTATTGAACTAATAAGACTTTCAGTAACATATATTTATGTAATAACTCGGCTGTGTTATCATGTCCGTTTTCGATATAACTCTAGGCTTATTATTCCCATAGTGCGTGATTAATGATTAAGTCAATCCTATAGTTTGAACGTAACGAAATTGGTGATAAGTAAATATACAAATATGACATATATGACACTGTTGCACATAGTTTTCAATTTATTTTACTAATAAGTATATATATATATATATATATATATATATATATAACTCCCTGAAAAGCACAAAACCCGTTTTAATACCCATAAATGATTATAATACAACGTCCCACACGAAATTCCCATCGTAATTTCATCGGACCGATCTGTCTTCGTCAATAAATTAATCGGGGAAACTCAATCTCCAATTTGACGTGTAAACAAGGCGAAATGAGATAACATTAAACAAATTATTATTCATGTCATAAAGAGGGTAGCCAGGAGCGGGAGGAAAATAGACGATGACGTAACAAGGGCCGGGTAAATTGTGTTTAGTCGATGTTCAAATACTGACGCCTCGGGACGGCCTGTCCGCGGCCCCATTTCTCATCCGTTCACGTCGTTTCCAATGTTACTCCGGCAATCGAAGGAGGATTTCTGGAGGACTAATTGTTTCGGTCGTGTTATCTTTTGATGACGCTATCTATGCTTTTAACGCCGATCGATTTACGGAAATCTACTTGATGGCTTTCTGCGGGTGTGTTTGGCTAAATGAGTTTTGCTTCGTTTTTTTTTATTTGCCCGTTTTAATATGTCCGTAGACTTATGCGTTAAGATTTTCGTCGGTGTGGTAATCAGCCGATTAGCTCAGTGGCTAGAGCGTCCGGCCGCGAATGCCGAAGACATGGGTTCGATTCCCACAGCGGCGACAATCTTTTCGCACTTTTTCTACATATTTTAATGTCCGTAGACTAATAATTCATTTAATTTTTCTGCATGATCGTTTCGTTATTATTAATTTATTATTATAGAATCTTAAGAAAGCAGCATACAAGTAAAACAACCGTATCTAATGTTTTCTTGCCATTTATGGGGCTCTTGTTGTGTTTAGAGTACTTGAAAAACCAATTCTCAGATACATCTTGTCTGTACGTATTAGGGAAATTGCTTTTAATTATTATTCCAGATCAAATTATCGTGATCGAAATAAGTCACGAAATACTACTTGAACGCAGGTACCAGGTAGCTAAATAGTATGGTGATAGTAAAAATTATTAGAATGATGTAATTTAAAAAGATTGATGGCGTGAACTTATAAATGGTTCTCGGTAGGAACGCACTGAAGCCCCGTTGTCTTCTTGTAGCTGTTCTGAGATCATTTATAATTTATCATTCAAGTTTTGTTGTTTTGGCATGAATATAAAACTACAAAACGCATTGTACTTGAGAGTATCCCAAATTGGAAACATTTCCAATCTGGAATCTCGAGTGAAAAGTTTTAACGCGCATCTAAAACTCTATTAAACAACTCATATAATGGAGCTCTTTAGCCGCACCGTCCGCGCCAAAGGCCGAGGAACACGGGCTCGAAGCGAGTGCACGCTTGCGGAGGGAGTATTATCATCCGATTAGCGGGCGGGTGTTCCGGGCGCAATCTCCTCGCCCGGCCCTCCTTCATCCAATTACGCGAGTGTGAACCCAACGGGATTAGCCGGGCAGCGCCGGGAAATTCGCCGGACCGCGTCAGCCGATACCGATGCAATCACGGTTTTCCTCGTCTCTACTCTGCGTTTCTGATTTGATGACACGTGAACTCCGGCGGTAACTCATTCATTATTCCAACCTCGAACGCTCAAGGGTGGACTATTCTGTTATATTCTTCATGAGTTTCCGTTTTGAACCAAACTGTTATACTAATTACTTCAAGGTCCAGCCCATTTATAATACATTTCTGTATCTTATATGTCATATCAAATTCAACTCTGGGTCAATCATATTGCTTAGCACTCGATATTCGCTATTATTGAGCACTCCGCTGTCATCTGAGTATTTTACATCTGGTGCTCATTAGTCGAAAAAATAGAAGTATATTGTCTTTTGTAGAGGCGGTGTGAAAGCAAAACAAAGAGCACGAGATATAACGCGAGGAGGGCTTGCAGCGAACTAAATTGTCACTATCCATTTTAAGCAGCACACAGAAAGTGGTCGCTTGAAGGCGAGTTGTTTCTTATAACAAAGAGGGTAGAGTCGGTCTCTTTGTTGTTAAGTGGCAGGAGGGGCTCGCGCGGGGATGCATTTAGTGCGGGCATGAATAGCTTGCAACTGCACTTCGTCAGTGCAGGGAGTAACAACCTGGACGCCCGACGCCTCCCCCCCAGCCGAACCGCGCCCTGGCGGACCGCTCGCCTCGCCACCCCCCCGGCGGCAATAACAGTTTTTAATATGCAAATCGCCTCGCGTTTCGCGTGCTTTACCCCGCATTACCCCTTGTAACACAACGCAAACGCGGCGCACCTGAACTGTGACACGGCACCGCGTCGAGCCTCCCCCCACCACATTTCTTTCTCTCCTCAACCAACACACGGCCACGCGTTTCGTTGTCGCGAAACCATTTAGTGTTTTTACGATTCGACGTGAAGCGCCGCGATTGACAACCGCTTCGTTGTCGTTGTCGTTGTTAGTATTCGGTTTTGAATTGCACGCGAACGTTTCCGACGTGCCGCTCCTCGGGGACCGGAGCACTTTATTCGACATCAGTAGGTTTCCATTCGTGTTAAGCACAGATTGTGTACGCACCGTTGGACCCAATTAAACGTTCATTAAACACCGAACACTGCTAGCCCTACACCAGTTTTCTTGCTACGGACGAACGAAAATAGGTCACTTGCTCTGATTCCGCAACATCTGGGACGTTGTACAGTGTTGCCCTTTTGATCGGCTTTCCATTCGCTTGAGTTTTATGTTAGATTTCGCTTACCGTTATTGTTCATTAGTACTATGAATCTTAGTTAAATGCGCAACGTAAATAGCCATTTGTTTCGTCATCACATTGAATCATTTGATGAACCTAGATAAGGAAATAAGTTAAATAATAGCCTTAACAGACCTAGAAGATAACGCCCGCAACCGTCGCATAGTGAACTGGACGAATGGGGAAGAGCGAGAGCCCGCAGTATTGCGTAATTACCGTAAAGGAAGTCGAACATTTAGTGCAAACAAAAACCGCTGCCGGCGACTCCGATCGGCGGCGGGAACAAAGGGCGGGGTGTAATTTGAAACAATCGGCGGTGCGGAGCGGGCTTGGGCACGCACCCCGACGACTATTGATCTGACGAGTCGCGGCCGCGCCACCCACCCCCCTCCGCCCGGACACCCAGCGACCCCTACGGCGAACCGAACCGCGCCCCCCTCCCAACTCTCCACCGCCCCAGCCCCCACGGTCGTCCTCGGGCACCCAGGCGCCACCGAGCCCACACCCCCGGCTAGCGCACAACCAGTATTTTAATTGCAAATCTGCCAGATAATGTGCAAATAGATAACGGCATTATACTCGGCTCGCTAACTAATTATGGAGCGCTATCGAATTAAGCCCCGCCATACTTTCGGGCTTTATGGAGTTCTTCATAGCTACACCGGACGGTCTCGCCCCGCGCCGCAAGTGGAATGAAAGCGCGGAGTGTCGAGTGATGGCTTTTCTTTTTTGTACTGGTGTTTCGGACGTAACACGGTCACGTAATTCCATGAAGTTAAACGTCATATAAGATTCTTTATCATCCTGTTATTTAATTTATTTATGAACAGTGTTATAAGAAGTAAGCTTTGAAACTTTAAGTTTATTTACTCATATAATAACACTGACTCTTTTTGACCTGTAATTTTCAAAGCTATAAAATCTGGAACCGAATAATGGTCAAAATGATAATATCAGGTTGAGCGCTTTTCGGACTAGACTGAAAAGTATCCCCCGTCGCTTAAAGTAATAGGGACATCTGAAGAGCGGGCCAAAGTCACGAGGCCTTTCGACCCTCGATCCTCGACCTTCTTTTCGCTAATCGAATACATTATTAGGCAACTTGTTCTTTGTCCAATTTTTCCTTGTTCTCCGTTGAGATTTGTAATGAAAACACTCAATTGTTTCCAATTATTTTTTCTTCTCAACTTCGGCTTGCGTTTGATTGAAACAAAACGTTCTTCGCAAAATGTTTCTTAAAAGTTTTAGATTACTTAATTTGACTTTAAATTGTCATTATCACACTGTATAAAGTACAATTAGTTTTTATTAAGGGTTAGCCTTAACTTAGCACAGAGTTAACCGTCTATATAATAAAAGGCAATAAAAGTTTGGTCGTTTACATAACTAACCGCAGGGGGCGTTTAATTTATGTCATTATTTGACACGGTCCCTTTTGCACCCGCAAAGTTCGTTCGTACCAGGGCTACCAGTTTTTTTATATGTAATGGCTGAAAGTTGATTTGGTGCGGCATATTTGCTTGACGATATAGATAAAGCTCCGTAAGATATTGAAAAAAAAAAATGCAATTGATCTATGAAATAAGATTTGTGTAGTCTTATTTTTAATGTTGAAACGATTAGTATAACTCTTTTTCTACTGTGACAAGTGGTATTGAGTTTATCTTCATGTATAAGCCTACCGGCTTTCGAAAATGTGACAACCCTAATTACATAGAACCATCATTGAAATTACGTGCGGGTTGAAGCAAATTTAATGACAATGCGCCGTTCTGTATGAACGAACTAAATGTATTTTGTTTTAAACACTTAACCATCTGAACCGGGGTTTAATTATGCAGAATACTTTAACCGTTTTGTGTCTTATTTTTGTTTTGTGGCATTACATTGTAACAATTTTCATTAAGGTTAATTTAAACGCTTAATTACCGCCTAACACAACGCTTTATAGCACGAGTACTGAACCACAGTGACGTTGTTTTAAACTGCATTATAAATCGCCCTCTACGTAATAAGTAAGAGACAAAGACTAATTATGTTTTTAATTTATTGCTTTTATTTGTATCTGTATAAGATGTTATTATTAATGTTAATAGGCTCAGTGCCTTTTTTCAAATCTAGGTCACTCAATAAAGTTTCTTTTTAATTACGTGGATAAATAACATAGTACCGTGTCCGGTGAATAAATTTTAAAATGAACATTTTATCAGTTGCAGGTACAGAAGTATCGGCTAAAAAGAAAATGAAGAAAAGGTCAGGCTACATGTCGAATATAAACGTATCACCGCTAATGGTGCATAAGGATAAGCCCCACGGTGACTTTAAGGTAAGTTATTAGGATACTAGTATTAGTATTAGTACTCAATAGGATTTCGTATTCATAGCCTTTGATAAGACTTGAATCGCTGCTAACATAACTCGTCTCCCTGCTAAATAAATCTATCAATACAAGCCGTAATTAAACGATTATTAAAAACATATTTTTTAAAATATTCATTACATTAGTAATTAATATAAATTTTTTTTTTCATTGTATAATTTTTGATTAATGCTTGGAAACATGTTATATATTTATATACATAAACATCTATGTTTTACATGATTTAAACATTTGTGTTACTCTAGTAACGGTATAACTTGAGATCATTAATATCTTATCACAACGGCACATCTGCGTCGGTTCTGAATCGATTATCAATATCATCATTAGCAATGCTTTTAATTAATCCATTGAGCATGGCGTGGCATACCTCGAAGCATTATTTACGTAAGAGTTAAAGAAAATTATTGCTAATTGTTCCCTTACCGTAATTTGCGGTCGATTAAGAGAAAGCGAGTTTATGTTAAATGTTTCCGAAATTGCGCCTTGCGTGGTTTATGGTGTGTTACATACCGGGTGTGTACCGAGTATGACTATGGCTTAGACTTTCATGGATTAAGCAAGTGCATAGTATGTTTTAGCGATAATTTAGAAACATGTTGTATCGAAAATACTTTTATACTAATTTCTACTTTCGAAAATACTTTTATACTGATACTACATTTATGCTGATTTCTTGAATTTACACGAGTACTTCATTCGTGAAATCTACTTCGTTGTTTTTATGTGTATTGTGTCTGTTTGGTTTTATTTATCCGACAAAGTGTTTTAATGTGAGTTTGAATTCTAGCAATTTCAATTTTAAATAATTACCATGATAATTCCGAGAATTTTAAATAATAAATATTTAAATTTATTAACATAACATATATCCTGGATATCGATACAGAACGTAAACACTCTTTTAAAGATATGTAGAAACTTAGTGTTGCAGTTTTTGTGTGCTTAGATCTTATATAGTATACATTTAAAGGTATTTGAAGGTACTTTTTTCGGTTTGCAGACTCAAGAGATCGAGCCGAAGCGCACGATATCTCCGGGAAATATGGTACAGCGTGCCAATATGCAGCCCTGCCCACCAACGTATCCGATGCACCAAAACACGTTGAATATTGTCTCCCACGAGAGCGACATTAAGCATGAAACGCTTATCCAGAGGAGCTCGCACTATCTCACCGTGAACAACGGCTGGATCACACAACAGGGGGATAATATTGAAAGCCAGAAACAGTCTCATTCCGCGCACGGTTCTGCAAATACCTCCATTAACGTCGGCATGCCGGTGTTAGGAACAAACGGACAAATAATAGGAGTGAACACTGGTTATAATAAACAAACGAATAATCTAAAGAATGTCATCGGAATCCCATCTCAAAATTGTATAGAGCACGAGCATAAAGATGACAAGAAAGATTTGCATTTGAATCATTTGCACCCAATCAGAACGCATAACAAAGAAGATGACTCTCAAATGTATTGCGGTCTTAATCAAGCATTGACACCCGAAGTAATGCAGAAGATAAACGAGCAACAACAAATATTCATTCAACAGAACCAGAAGCAAATAGAAATGGCAATGAAAGGTTTAAAATCACAAATATCCGACAATGTTAATCACAACAAACAGCAGACGCAATTTGTTCCGCAGGGTCAATTGGTGATTCAGAATGGTGCAGTGGTGAAAACTAATTCTGCTAAAACGCCCCCTTGGCAAGTTAAGAGAAGCGAGTCGAACGCTTCATTAACGAGTCCTAGTCCTAAGCCGCAAAAAATAGAAAATATTGAATACGAAGAGCACAATACAAACATCATGGAGGACTCGAACGCATTTAATTCTTTCCCAGGCCAAGACAATATGACTCAAGCGATGTGTTCTCGAGTGCCACCTTTACCGCAACATTATAATATGATGAGCCAACAATGGCCAGGCGGTGAACTTAACAAGAAAAAAGCTAAAGGCAACAAGGCCTCTAAAAAGAAGTCGAGCCCGGGGGAAAATAAAACCACAACATTTGGCAGTAATGGAATGCGATACGCCCAGGAAGTGAAGGGGAAATCTTGTGATAATATGTCAACAAACAACGTTCCATCTTTCATGGATGATCCAAACGGATATTTGGCGCAGCAAACTGTTTTACTGAACAACACCATTTCAAAACAAGTTGGAATAAGTTCCACGTATGAGAGTAACCAGTACGAAACTTCAAACAATTCTTACAGCTCTCATAATCATAACGAAAAACATGTTAAAGCAATGACCAAAGCATCGGAAGGGATGAACATTTTCAAAAATAATATGGTGGCAAATTCTTCCCCCTCGCCAAACAATACTCCCGACAGCAGCTTAGTTCCAGATAAGGCCGCAGACAATACTAAACTACCGTGCTGTAAAGGCTGCAATATAAGTTACAAAGGAAATTGTTCAGAGTACACCGAGAATCATATCCGAACAAAGTATTTAAAGCACCATCTATGCACGATGGAATTGGATAGAACACTGAGTACGTCTAGCCCCAGGCACGGTTTTGATGACAGCCCGGTGACGTCATCGACCTTCATCGAGCGTAATTTACTCAATACCGAGATTAGTGGTCCGATACAAGCCGGGATCGTCAGTACCAGTAATGTCTCGCCTACTGAGACGTTGCAGCCTCCGGAACCGTCGCCAACGCTGTCAAACAGCTCGAGGAGCACGGATACACCGCACAGTAGCGGAAGTAATTCCCAGATGCAAAGCAATTGTACATTCCCCGTAACAAGCCCGGCTTACCCCGGTTCTGGAAGGGACAACGCTAGCAGCAGTCCTTCGACGCCAGGCAGCCACCACGCCTACTTGTACAACTCACCCGGACCACCTAATAGCCACTCGATGTTGGGAACGCAGATGATGCATTTCATATCTAACCATAACGTGAATAAAAATCTCATGGAAGTAGACAACATATCAATGGTAGGTGTGAAGCCGGCGTTGAGGAACGCGCAGGAAATGTACAGATTGGATGCTAGAAAGCGCTTAGAGAACACGATGCCTGGTTACTGTCCCCCGCCACATTTAGGCGGAGGGCCAGCGCATTCCCTGATACAGGCGTGTTATGTTCAGTCATTCGTTACTACAATGGCGAGTGGCTTTTCGGTAACTCGAGACACAGTCACATCGGTATTAGCGGGTAAAGCCAATACAGCAACAACTTCTATAAACACGTCACAGGCTAACTTCGTAAGGCCTCCGCCACCGCCTAGCGTCAATTTGGCCACGAGTTACGCAATACCAACCAACCAGCCAGATCCATTCATTAATTCCGTCAACTTACCAACTAGCTATCCCCTACACATCGCCGGTACGACTGCGCAAAATATGATCTCAAAATCGCCTTTAGAGATGGTACAAAACGTGATCAGTAGTCTTCCATCGAAGTCGGAAATAAATAACGTGCAGGCCACAACACTGACGCAGATTGGAAAGCGCACTGGTCCAAACACACCAGGCCAGATTCTGATATCGTCAACTGGCCAAATTATGGTTTCGAACAATCACATGCCACCGCCTCCGCCAAAAACTACCACAGCTGTTTCTCCAATGCAAGTGTCAAATGCAGTTACAAATGTGACGACATCTGTCACCCAAGTTATACCAGCCGTCGGAAATGTTCAGCCTATTGTTAATCAACCCACTGTGGTCGTTAATACATTGCCCACGCCATTCATGCTCCAGCCGCCAATAATGGCTGTAGATGGACAGGTAATGCAACAAAATGCGGTGCTGCCTCAAATAGTAGCCGGGGGAATCGTACCGGGACCCCCAGCAAACGAAAGTGCTCGTCAAATAGACGTTAAAAATGGACAAAATTTCGTCCAAGGCGTCGCTATGCTGTCACCGGAAACTATCAAGAAGAGGAGCAAAAAGAAGAAGGCGCAGACACCTAACGTAACGAACGTACTTCAAATAACTGCGCCCCAGCCAAACCCCAATAACATTATAATGCACCATTCGTCGCCGCAGCACAATACAAGTCCACAGTTCTCGCCTAGGGGCTTCCAGTTGTCACCGACCAATAACATTTCGCCTACTCCGATGTTGCAAGCGCTGACTATCGTGCCCGGAAAGACGGGAACACCGGCCCACATTGTGATGAACGGACAGGGCAACACTAACAATTTTGGCTCCCAGCCGCTAATTGCGAACACGTCACCGTCGCAGCAAATCAATCTGCTGCAGCCGGTGAACTTAATCAACAACACGACGAGCGTCATGTCCAACTTCCCCGCTTTCCAACAGTTCATAGTGCCAAATCTTGGTGGTATGGTCATGACAGCCGATGGGACAGCCATCATTCAAGACAACGCAACAGGGATGCCAATGCAACTGCAGCTGCAAACCGTCAATGGGCAAAACGTCTTGACGCCGGTTCAGAATACTGGCGTGTTCGCGGCTGGAGCCAACAGCGGCGTCGTTATCCGAGCGCAGAACCAGCAGGGAAAAATTATCCAATCGCAGCACAGCCCTGGCGCACAATTCCTCTCCCCGAACAGCCAAGTCATGATGAATAGCCCCAGCTTCAATGGGCAACTCAGTCCTCTCCTCGCGAACCTGAGCCCGACGAGCGTAACCTTCAACACGAGCCCGCACCAAGTACGCGCGGGGAACGTGCAAACGCAAGAATTCATACAGACCAATCAGATGGGGCAGACTTTGATGGTGCCGCTGTCCCCTAAACAGGTATCACTCGCTTCGGCGACGAGCAACAGAAGCAACTCCAGTACATTCGTCCAGCAAAACACGACAATAGTTCAGCAGCAGACGACGCTGGTGTCTAACTCGCACAACGCCCAGGTGTCCCTGCAGACGAACCAGCACGGCGGCAGCGCGTCGCGCCTGAGCATCGACCCCAACGTGCTATTGGCGCACAAGCAAATCACGAACAAGGGGCGTGGTTTCCAAACAACCGAGAACGGCCAGCTCGAGGAGATGAAAGGGGACAAGCGATCGTTCGAGGGCGAGGGGTACGCGCGGTCGGTGAACGACTACAGCCCCCTGGTGGGGGGGGCGGTGAACGCGCACGTGCGCCACTCGGTGTCGACGCAGACGCTGGTGAACCAGCAACGGGGCAGGTCGCCCAACGGGCAAGCGGTGTCGGGCAGCAGCCCACCGGACACCACCACGCACAGCCCTTTGGGGGCGCTCGAGACGGCATCCAGCCCGCGTGTGTACGGCGCCCGGTGCGTGTCCACGCAGGGCAACTACGCGGACACCACCACCGAGTCGCCGGAGCCGGCGGACGTGAACTCGTCGGTACGTAAGGAGTCATCATCATCATCATCACCACCATCATGCTCCCTCCCTTATCCCACCTAGGCAGGGCCGGGGCAACATGTGAATCGTGTTGTAAGCGGTTTTTTACGACCGGTCTGAAAATTATCTGTGGTTCACACTAATACTGTTCCGTGTGGGAATCGAACCCACAATCCCTGACACCGAAGCCAATGGTTTAGCAACGGCGCCACCGAGCCATCGTACGGAGGAAGTCGTCTCTTTAATGTGGCGGGGCCACACAGCCAGTCTTCGTTGTTCCACGAATGGACAAGTTCGTCCGGGGAAGTACCACGGCCTCACAGAAGACCGGCGTAAAGTGGTGGTGTTAAAAATTGTTGCGTGAGTAACCCATCGAGTGCCCAATCTTTTAAAAGTTAGCAATGCACTTTGCAAAACCACAGATTTTGTACATGTCAATGGGTGGCGGTATTCACTTAAGATGAACCGCCTGCTTAAAAAATAAAAACGTACATAGCTGTAGCTATTTCTCTTTACTCCGCTAAGATTAAAGAAAGGTAGTTATATGAGTTTATCAAGATTAGTATTAATTGTGCGGCTTTTATAATTCCAGGCAATGGTTCAGTGCGTGTCGAGCAGCGAGCAAGATATGGCCGAGTCTAGAGAGCGTACCTGGCCGACGCCGCGGAATGAAATCAATTCGGACAACGAAACGCAGAGTGAGCATCAGTATATATTCAAAACTTTAGTTTTGGAAAGAACGGGTCTCTATAGATATTTTAACGACATAAAGATACCTATAATATAAAGCTAAGCTCGTGGAAAAGCTGGTCCCATCATTAGCCATACCTAAGCAGACGAGCGTGCAGCAATAAAACAGGGCAACAATAGCTACGAGCCCTAAATGTGACTTCGGTTACGGACGATGGCGTACTCTGTGTACGCGTTGTGTTTGTTTCGACGTTCTCTTGTCCAGTATAATCTACCTTGAGCTGAAGGTTAACGCTACGTGTTGTGGTGTTATTGGGTGGATAACCCTGATATCTTTTAACCGTGGTAGGGCCACATAGCCACATTCGGATATTGCACGCTTGGATATAGCTATGGCTAGTTCGGTGAAATACCACGGCCACACAGACGACTAGCGTGAAGTGGAAGTATTATACTTTTGCGTTTCCTTTGTTGAACAAGGTAACCCGGGCCTACTTATTCATTAGTTGTCAACGCATCTGCAATCCATCGGGTGTTGCTTATGTCAATGGGCGGCGGTTATCACTTAACATCGGGTGAATCATCTGCTCATCTGACAACTTTTCACATAAAAAAAATATGCCTACATTCCGCATTTACCACCAGAGGATTGGGATGATTGTCAGAACCGCTTTGTTAGGAATCGCAATAACATGCGGTCCGCACCGCAACTTCGATGGCCCTTAGATGACATGTCGTAGTTAAACGCACGCATGAGCACATGCGCGGCCCTACCCACAGCGGAGGGCCCAAACCCGTGGGTTCCGGCTAGCCCACCGGTTCTGCGTCAGATGAAGCTTTAATAGCCTCGGGACTGAAAGCAAAAACATCAGTTAATACAAGATACAACATGCGGTAAGAATGCGGGTTTGTTGACGCTACAGACTACTTTCTCGGAGTGGACAGGCGATTTACTATGCTGAAATGTTGGCTTTGTTTACGATAATTTCACACATCTACTATTTCTTATGTAATGTAATTCTCTAGATCATTCTATCTTATTTACCAGATATTTTAGACAAATATCTAAATCGCATCAGGGTTCTCAAAGTCAAATTTTAGTTTTTTAACTATTTCGTTAGTAAAAAGTGCTTCGTAGCTTAGAATCTCATTCAGGACAAGCATTTTTTTCTTTCATTTCATTATTGCTGGATTTGTGTTCGTGAAACGTCTCAAATAAACCTATTGTAGAAGGTAGTGGGTTGAATTACATGGACAAAAGGTTACAGCCGTCGGGTAATCCAGTCGTAAATCGCTCAATTCCGATTGCAGCAATGGCGGCCAGCGTGCCCTTGATGCGTCCAAACCGGGCCCCGGTGGAAACCACCGATGTGCACTATGGGCAGAGCCTCGGCGCGTCAACGATCGGCGGCCATACAATGCCGATGGCGACCAACTACTACGAGAGGCCGCACGGCTACAAGCGGAAGGGCGATTTCGGTGGCACGTCCTACCGTGCGGACAAAATTATGAGGTCCAACTACAATGTTCACGGAATGCCAAGCGAGTACGACAAGTCGCTAAGGCATTATCCCAAGTCGGGAAACAGCTCGGACGCATCGATGCAGAAGGCGTACGACAGGCATCGTATGGGTTCCGGCGACGGTGAGTATGCCCCGCAAAAGCTTTACCACCTCACACTTAACGCTTTGGATACTTTCGCCTAATACCGCAATCTCCTGCTACAAGCAGGTCGTCTATGTGTCGTCTGTTGCGATTAATCCCTTTACGCGAATAAATAACATACGAAATTTTCTTTCGGAGTCATTATTGGTCGTTATCTTTTCTGATACTATTACGTCTCTCATTGGCAAATTATGAACTCTATTTGTTTTTACAGTATCACTTGCGTTGTTCATACGAAATTTAAGTTCGATATTAAATTAAGTGTACATTTTTTAACTTATCTTTACTGTCTTTCTCATGTATCAAAAAGCTTTTTAATATTTACTCTTCAGTTGCAGCAACAACAGCGTGTGTTATTGAAAATCCTAACTCTCGTAAACTAATATCTGGAAACCATATCACGCTTTAGTCACAGCTAACAAAATTCAAAATTATTCTCTATTACGATGTTGTGTCTTGTATTGGTTTTGGATTGATCGTTACCAAAGCGGTTGCATTAAATTGTGTACGTAATGTAAATAGAGCATATTGTGTAAGAACAAATTAAATTAGCCCATACTTATTTCTATTGTGGTATATTTCAGCTTCTACGTAATGCGATACTATTGGTCATTGGTTTTCTTTTGGTTGGGTTAATACAAGATACAGCTGTTAATAAATGGTGTACTGGAAACTAATCAGAGTGTAGCGATGCAGCGTGCTTACGCTCCCCACTACGGCTTTCTGTCGCTTTCCATTGCACCACACGAAGTAACAAAATTGGCACACGAATTGGGATTCCATTACTAACGCATCATTGTAAAGCCATCATCATTCCATCTGTCCATCGTTGTAAGTAAAGCACAATTTCATTTCAATGTAACTTCTTTCTTGGGAGTGCGGGGAAAAATACAGAGCGATCGTCTTTCAATATTCAATCTCGGCTGCGACCGATCGCCGTATTTACCCCCAAACACCCACACCACTAAGTTAAGCTACTCTCCTTGTTTTACGTAAAACGCGCATTGTTGAAAATGTCTGTGTGAAAATACGCAAGAGGCGCCAATGTTGCTCGATCTAAGCTTCATCATGAGGGGCGGGGAGGGGGGGGGGGGTTGGTGTCACGTGCACCGCCGTGATCGTGGACCGCTTGCTGGTGTCGGAAACGCGGTGATGGCATGCCACTAATAAAGCACCGAGCGCGCCCACGAGCGAGCATAAACGATTATGGTGTGATAGATTCGAAGAGCGGGGCGGAGTCGGACGTGGGGGGCGGCGGTGTAGCCAATGAGAGGTCGGCGCGCCGTTTCGAAGTGGGCGATCTGATCTGGGGCCCGGTGAAGGGGCACGCCTCGTGGCCCGGCAAGCTGGTGGCGCGCGCCGAGGGCGGCGGCTGGCGGGTGCGCTGGTTCGGCGCGGACAGGGCGGCCGGCTGCGTGGACGGCGCGCGGCTGCTCACGCTCAGCGAGGGCCTCGAGGCGCACCACGCGGCGCGCACCAAGCACAGGAAGTGAGTGGCACGGCACGACATTCGCCGCGGACCGCCCTAGCGCGACTGGCGCCCGTCGCGCCTCGCACGCCTCGGGAACGACGCGCCCGAAGGAGGAACGCGTCGCCCTCTCTTTCGTACCCGTACAAAATTACTATGCACGGAGTGAGATGGTTCTACAAGGATAGCATTTTTTAGTTGCACGCACGTGATAGGCACGACATTCGCCGCGGACCGCCCGCCCTAGTGAGACTGGCGCCCGTCGCGCATCGCACGCCTGAGGAGCGGTGCGCCCGTCGGGAGAACGCGTTACCCTCTCTTTCGTACCCGTACAAAATTAGTACGCACGGAGTAAGATGGTTCTACAACGATAGTATTTAAGTTACGTGCTCGTGAGTGACGTTCGCGGCGAACCTCTTTAACTCCTTACGAGCGACGTGATCGACGGAGGAACGTGTTGCTCCCTCTTTCATACCAATACAAAATTAGTATGCATGGAGTTAGATGGAATTAGGAGGATGGTATATTTGAGCCGCACATCGCACGCGTAAGGAGCGATGGGCCGTACAGAAGAAAGTGTGGTCCTTTCATTCTTACTCGTAAATAATTTATAAGCGCGGAGTGAGATGGCGAATGTGCAAAAAATACCATCCTACAAGCACATACACCATATTTGTAGGATGGTATTTTTTCCACATACACCATCAAAATACCATCCTTGTAGGATGGTATTTTTTGAAGGAATTGAATGCTCGAATCGAGTGTGATACGTAGTCATGTGTGTGAACTCGCACGCATTTCGAGTCTGAAGTATGATTTTGTCAGACTTTAACGTTTCAGTTGGTATTTTTGGTCCAATTGTAGCTGCGGTGTTTACGGAACAGTTTCACATGAGTAGCGAATGTCACGCGTGATTGAACGAGCGATCACAACCAAGGTTTTGTATTTTTTTCCAACAATAGATTATATATATAGAAAGAAAAGCTTTCTTTCTTTTCCAACAATAGGTATTATGATTTATGACGATACTTCTATCTGGAAGAATCAAGTTTTTATTACTTTGAAATATATGTAATTGACCCACTCCTTCGTGACGAAGATGTTTTGACACGTAGTTTATCGAATTAGTAGTATACCACATTGAAATCTGCGATCCATCATTGGCGACGTTGAGTTTATTTATTTATAAAATATGTTTTTTGTTGTTTCATTTTATACCAAAATAATGTAATATTAACCCAACCCAAAGATAACATCGATACGCGTTAGTTATTTTAGGGCATTGTACAGAGGGCACGAGACGATCAATCTCTACAGCATGTTGTGTTGTTGTGTGCAGGAGTAGAAAATTGAATTCACTGCTCGAGAATGCGATACAAGAGGCGATGGCCGAGCTCGACAAGAAGTGCGATAGGAGGGGAGAAATGAGGAGCGGTGAGGATTCAAACATCGGCCCCTCGTTGATGGAAACACCGAAGCGAACGAAGAAACACGACAAGCTAAGGAACAGACACAGGAAGGCCCCCGCAAAAGTCGACAGCACGCGGTTGCGAAGTTCGCGATGACATCATCGCAGCCAGTCGCCGATACTAAACTTATTCTAGAAAGAACTACCCTAACATGTCGTTTCTCGAGTACACCCGCACGTGTTCTAGCTAATGCTAGACTCGATATATTCAAAGATGATAGTGTGAGTGTTGCATTAAAGTGACACAATCAGTATAACCTTTCCCCGTATATTGTTACGGCTAGGACAATTGCGTTATGTGCTAAGATGATTTATAAACTCGGCGTGAAGCGTGTAATTTATCGTGACACACTGCATTCCGATTTTATTGGGAATTACATTTGTTAAATTACTATCGATATATATATAAAATTTAAAGAGATTACGGATAAAGAAAATAATAATTACGATTTACGATATTCACAATAGATTCAATAACATAATATATTATTGGTACAATATAATAAATTTAGTGTCTATGTGTAGCATCTGTGGTTTTGAATCACTGTTGTTTCACTTGTAATATGTAATAGAATTAAATGTGTAATAGGATCTATTTATGGTAACGTTAAGGGGCATCTAAAAATTTGTTTAATTTATCAATACAGGTGTCACAACTTCTCTTTTATTACAAAACGGTCATATATTATATGACAAAAACTTAAACAAACAATAACATGAAAAACGCGATCTAACGAAAAAGGCACATCCGTGTCTAGTAATCATATTTGCTGCTAACTGATATATACTCGGTTACCTAGCTTATCAATGTAAGCATTTGTTAAATTTAAACATTTGTTTTGATGCCTCTTAACTTTCATACATTTCATCGATGTTGTACAATTTTTATTGAGCTGTAAATTGATAAGTAAAAAAAAATCGCTATATATCATGTACATTTTGTTTTGTTAGAGGTTAAAAAAGAAAATATGATTTCTAGTCAAAATATTGAGCATATTAAAGTGTAGATATTACGGACGATGTAATTGACAATAACACTGGCTTGGCGACCTGTCAACAATAACATAAGTACAGTATTTGTACATTATTTATATTTATTAATCACGACGTTGTGGTAACTGTTTTCGATTGTGTAATTTCGTCGATATGTTTTTTTTAATTTACGCAATAGTTATAAAAAAAATATTAGGTTGCTATGAGTTTAAGCTAAGTCTTCGAGTATTAGATAACGACAGCTGTCCATATTATGTTTTCTATTTCTCACAAGATGTCGTAGGATTTTGCAGAGGAGTTTTGACGAACTTCTACTACTTTACGAATTCAACACCGAAATACATATCAGAATCGATTTGTTGTTGAAGCTCTGTGGAGTTGGGTTATCGATTGGTTTGCTCGGCGATTGTCGAGGCCTTTTTTTTAACAGGTCTTCGTTCGGCGCGTTAAATGGGCCGGTAGAAATTGTAAATTTTTGAACAAAAGAAAAATCTTTTATTGTGATAAATGTTAAAAACTAATTATGGAAGACATTCGAGATTTATTAAGCTTATGCCTTAGCTGATATTACTTGTGACATCACATTTCAGTACCTTTTATTTCATTTTTTTTTTAGTTTAAAATTAAGATATTTCACTATAAGTGTCGCTTAAATGGTAAGTTTTCGATTAACGGTACAAGGGAGATTATTTTAAAACATTTATAAAATGATTTTTAATCACAATATTCAAATAATGTCTAGGTAAAAAATTTCTAAAAATCGTAGGTAGAATGTTAACTATAGATCACGTCATAAATACATTTTGTTAGGTAATTTGTTAACGACAGTCATTGTTAGATAATATTATCGATGTGTGAAATTAATTTATGTGATCTTTGAGTATGTCCGGAGAATTATATATCGAGGATTTATCATAGCTTACTGTTTTTATATTATCGTATTTTAGGGATTCAACTTAATTTTCCTACTTCTAAATAATAAATGTGACTCCAGATATGAACATAATATTAAATGTTAAATAGATATTGTTTATTAAAATAAAACGAATAGCACTTCCCTTTGAGATGGTATTATGTACATAATTTAAATGTAGTTATGTATAGTATTTTATTTCATTGAAATTAATGTTTATAGACTAATATACAACATAAGATTATTTATTTGTTTTGCTGTGTACATATTTTTTTTTTCAATAAAATGTACCTGTTTTATTTATGTTTCTTTTTTATTTTGTCATTTTATAGCCAAGCAGGCGTTCACGGATATAATTAACCAAAAGTAATTAAAATTTTTTGTACAATAAATAATAATAATAATAATAAATATTTTAGGACACATTTTTACACAACTTTCTCTAGTCTCAAACTAAACAACGCGTGTACTATAGGTACTAGATAACTGATAAACATACTTAAACATGCTTTTCTTGTGTAAATAAATACATATTATAAATATATACACAGACACTGGACGAACACTATGTTCACCACAGAATATTTTCACCAGTAGTGGGGATCGACTCACACCCTCTGACGCAGGAGGCGGGTACACTACGCCATTCGGGTCGTCAACAATAAAATGATATCTTTCTTACGATTATAATCTTAATCTTGATATATATAAATAATATGCCAATTTAAATAATAGTTATAAATTAGATATTTATTATTATGCGTGAAGATGCAGTTAAAATTACAATATTGTGGAGCTGTTTTGCGGAAGTTGTCAAAAAAAGAGTTAATATGGACATTTATTCCATTACACTTAGGGAACAAGAAAATTCTCACTCTGTCATTCAGCTTTACATTAATTCATGGCTGCAATAAAATATATAGGTAATACGGCTCCGCAATACTATTATGCACCTTAACAGTTTTGGTAGTTATAAAAATTTGATACGATTAATGTTATAAAATTTAATACATGATATTAATTAGCAGGCGCTAATAAATCTAATAGGCTATGCCACTGTGGTATTGCCACAGCTTCGGCTCTTGCACGAATGGACATATCCATCAGGGTAAGTACCACGACCTCACAGAAGACTGGCGTGAAGTGGAAATGTTGTATACTTCTGCGTTTCGTCTGGTGATTGAGCTAGCCGGGGCCCACTTACCTGAAAGGTGGAAATGCATCTGTAACCCGACGGGTGGTGCAAACGTCCATGGACGGCGGTTATCACTTAACATCAGATGAACCGCCAGTTCGCCTACCACCTTCGGACATAAAAAAAAATCTCAAACATGGAGTGAAAGCTATGTAATTTACCTAAAGCACTGCTGCTTGTTTCAAATAGCACCCCGACTACTTGAGCGTTGTACATGGCATCAATATAAAATTATAACTTCACGCAGCACCTTTACTGTTCAAAAATTACGACAAATATAGGAAATGTTGATAGTATGACAAATAAATTATTTTAAACTGCAAACGTCCACAAATGACATTTTATATGGGTTTTTATCAGGCCTGTTGCTGAATGTCCACCAAAATATATTACTTCTGTTTTTAGGGTTTTACGTGATAGAGCGTAAATAAAACGACGTGTTCCGTGAAGGTCTTCGATCGTCGTAGCTCTTTTGGGAGTTCCTGTCCCAATGAACCTATACTGTCCTTAACACTGAAAGCGAAAACATCCAACCAGGTCATATAGTCGCACATAATGGGGTGGAATAACGCCACCCCAATTGATTTTATCATGGGTTTATCAACAGATGATATTTCGTATTTAATAGAAAGTATGAAAGTTTTCGCTTTTTAATTAATTTTTTTTAAGTTTTGGAAATTCACCTAATGAAATTTGTGCGAACATCCATATCTATGGAGTTGCATTTTCATTTCGAAGTAATGAGGGAGTCAACTTCTTAAATAAAACAAGTAAAAATACTTTCACGTCCATTCCGGACTCACCGAGCGACCTGCCTGATAAAGTTACACACACGTAGCCTTAACAATCAAAACTGTAGTTTGCCCTCGTCTATGAGCGTGGCGAGACCGATTTATCATACACACATGGTATACTCGAGTTCCACCCCTGGATCCACGGCCCATCGCTCCCAGCCAATGCAGAAAACTAATAAGTCAACAGAAACACACGATCCGGACTTCTATGACCCGTTACTGACAATAAATAATAAATAAATATTTCAAGAGACATTTTTACACAACCTTCTATAATTAGAAACTAGGCAACCCTTTTACTATGGGTATTACATAACAAACATAATTTTCTTTTAGTGACTAAATATAATTATATGATATGTATAATTATATCAACAAAACAATATTTTTCCAATAGTGAGGATCGAACTCCTATTGGTCCACCTCAATTGGGGTCTCTATTTTACCAATGCAAACATGTTCACATGATTGAATAGGTAGGGTCGTAAAAGAGAAGAAAATATAATTTTATGAACAATAAAATAACGAACACAACCCGTATCAATAAGACAACTAAAGTAGGTCATTACAACAAAAAAAAATATATCACGTTTCTAAGAATTCGATTGTACGTGCGAAATATTTACCACTCTACATCAGTACACACTTAGGCTGTTTTTGGTGGTATGTTCACGCAGCAGCTTTTGCTGTGGCACGAATAGGCAAGTACCACGGCTTCACAGAAGATTAGCGTGATGTGGAAGTACACTACGTCTAGTAATTTAGATAACCAGAGTCCAATTTTTTAATGTTTGGCAACGCATCCGGAACCCGTCAGTCCATAATTAATTACTTAACATCAGGTGGACCGCCAGCTCGTTTGAAGGGTAGGTACTAATGTAACCATAGGAAAAACATTAAGCGTAATTGTGTAAAACAACATTGTGTAAAAAAAAAATATAAGGAAATCGACACTCCTTGTTCAACACCTTACCATATCAGAAGTATAGATAATATTTAACTTAGTAGGGCCTCGCAACGGTTTTCACTGTTCCACGAATGGGTAGGTCCGGGGTACGACGTATTCAGTTCTGTTTTGTTTGGTGAGTGTAGAAACCGGGGCCCACTCTGTTAAAACTTGACAACGCATCTGCAACCCTGCGGGTGTTGAGAATATCCATGGGCAGCGGTTATCACAACATCAGGTTTACCGCCAGCTC